ATAAATCGTGCCCTCAAGACGCCATTGTTTTCGGTCTTCAATTCCTCACAGGTCACGTGGTACAGTTCCCTTTCTATTAGTGTATCTGAGGAAAGACAATTATTTAGTTTTTCCTCTGGAATTAGAACGGCCGATCGCTGAACAAAACTGGCCCGTAATGCAGACAGCATAGAGCGTTGCGAGTCTCTCGCCGTGTTTGTTTACATACTGTGGCACGCTCGCCGCTAGTGGCGCTAGGAGTCCACGTGCCTCACAAAATTGGGCCACTGCGACATCTTACCGTAGGCTGTACTATCTTTGCCCGAACTGCTGATGAACAGCAGTCGATCTGCGCACGCAAGGAGGTGCTATTCCTATTCTTCTTCTGGAAAAACGAAAGAGAGCTTCAAAACAGACTGCAGCGCCATCTGAAGCAAAGAGCATACTTCCTGCGGACACTTTTTTGGCTGAGTGGCCCATCTTGTTATTTACTATCTTTGGTCTAATTCAGCCAGCATAGGCAACGATAACTAAAACTCCGTAGACACTGATATCTAGCCAAGGCCTACTAAAATTAAGATATTATTTTAGCCCTGAGAGAGAGAGAGAGAGAGAGAGAGAGAGAGAGAGAGAGAGAGAGAGAGAGTATTTAATGAATAAACGTAGCCTATCTGGATCTAGATTCTAGAATCTAGATCTAGAGAGTCTAGATTTTGTTGTGCACCCAGCCAAGAGTGTGCAGTTCAGAAAGTAGATTTAGATCTAGGCCCCTAAGTGGTTAGCAAATGACCGAAGGGCGACTCTTGACAAGCGGTATGTCTGTGAATTGGCGGAGACACTCTAGATCTATATAATGCAACTTGATTCATACTATCATATCAACAGTAGATAGATCTACTTAAGTTTCTGTGCTTGTTTCAATGGCTTCTTTTTCGGTGAACCTTTACAATTGTGTTCCAGTTTAATGTTTACATGACGGCCATTATTGTCATGTGGGAGTGAATCTAGATTAGATCTAGATCTAGATACCTCTAGACTCTATCTAGATCTAGATAGCCAAGATAATCTATTTCTAGATCTAGATAGCTAAATCTATCTAGATCTAGATCTTGATTAGATCTTTAATTTTAATTCAGTTTAGATCTAGATCTAGATTTAGATCCTATATATCTATAATATATCCCTAAATCTAAATAAGAAACACGTAAAAATTACTACAGGGACACTTAAAATTTAGGCCGGCACTATTTCTCCGAACGTTCGGGAAAATAAAGCTAGGCACTATTTCTCCGAACATTCGGGAAAATAAAGTTGGGCACTATTTCTCCGAATACTCTGAAATCACATCCTTTCCCCCAAATTTCGGATATTATATAAATCTATAATTATAGTATATGCCTACCAAAGATTGTTCGTATGCAATATGGTTCAATCGGTCCAAAAAATGTCCGCTGTAAATATTTATATAAAGAAATACTACAGTTCCAAACAGTTTTTCGCAACAGATATATATATGACGTGTTGCTTATGAAGGGTGCTGCTCTTAAACTTAATGTGTTGTGTTCACTCGTGTGCTGTCTAGATCTAGATCTAGATCTACGGAGGATTATCGATAACGACACATAGAACTAGCATCTGCGTTTGTCGCTGCCGCGACCAATCAATCGTGGCTCGACTTTTTGGTCCCCGAATCGGGGAATAAAAGTCAAATATAAAAAAAAAGAAAGAAACCGAACCTCTTTACTTTTGAAAGAAAGTTCACCTAGCTTCACTTCGTCTTTCTCACTTGTTGTCACCACGTTGATTTGTTGAATACGTTACAGTTACTTTTATTTTTCCCTCTTTTTGGTGTTTTATTTTGTTAGTGTATATTTTTTTCTTTCTTGTTATTGTTCTGATGTGTTGTTTTTCTATCAATTTTTTTTTGTTGGAGAAAAGGGGGGGGGGGGGGGGATGTTGTTTAGTGTAACGTCATTTAATTTGATGTTCCTACCTTCATTAGATTCTAAACATCAGGGGCGGTTTGTTAACTGGGCAAGACCGGCGGTGCCGGTCAGATTTTTTTCAGCTGGACTGTTGACAGGAGATTTATTGCTGATGATGATTTTCATTCAGTTTTAAGTAAATCCAAACAAACATGTTTCAACATTCAAAAAGCGCCTTGCCGATTTGAAGGCGCTCAAATAGAGAAGTGGGATTCACTGCTGTTTATTTGTCGCGACAGAGCCTCATTCCTTCACGTTTGTTATCGCGCCGGCTCGTTACTTCAAATCGTCTCCCCTCCCATCAAGCCGTCACCAGGGGATAATTAAATACTCTCTGCCGTCACTTCGCGGAACTTCGTAGGCTACTACGTACGAGACAAACACACGGCGGGCTTTGGCCTAGCGATGACGCCAGTCCCATGGACAAATCCATCGACAGCCCTGAGAAGGAATAGAGGCAAGGAGTTTAGAACTAAATTGCCAAATTGGCCTCTTTGTAGCTTACAAAATTAAGATTGAGACTGTCTTGAGCAGCACAGACACATGTATTATTTTATCAACAAAACATGTATTTATCATTCAGCCTTTCTCTAATTACTATCAGAACATTTATTGTTAGCATGGCACTAATCTTTTTTGTTTATTGACTTTCTAACCACCTATAGTTCCTGTTTGACATTTACTCATCGTTTTCTCCCCTCTAATAACTTACCTGGCCCATAGGA